TATTGACAACTCTAATATATATATATATATATATATATATATATACTACACGTTGACTAGCCATACTAGAATTTCTCAGCATTCCAAGTGAGTTTGATTTATGCATTTATGGCCCTGTTTACACTTGGTAATAAGATGCTTTTTGGTCAATCTGATCACAAGTGGACAATGGAGACACATACCTGTTTACACCTGGCGTTTTATTCTGTCTCTTCTGTCCACTTTCGACCATTTCTGACCAGATTACCCCCGTGGTGCTGATTACGTCAAGAGGAGGGTAAATGGGCAGATCCCTCTGTCGGCATCAAAACACGAGCGGGAGGGCTAAAGTTATCGTGCACTAATATTACGTCTGCTTGTACTTACTGCTGTTGTTTCTTTTTCGTGTTATCAGAATAATACTTCTAATTCGGCCTGTCAAAGTTTAAATCCCGTCTGGTAAGCGCGCGTCCTTGTGTCTCGCAATGATTACAGGTCAATAGGTGGAGAGTAGGCTGTTCGAACGCATTCGACCACATCAGCGTCTACACCACGAAAACAATCCGGTCTAATGCGTTTTCGACTACCTCTGGAAGTGGTCGAAAGTGTACAAGCTCAAAACGTTTCACATCCCGTTTACACCTGTATTTAGCATTGTCCACTTGTGATACGATCGACCAAAACGCATCTTAATATCAAGTGTAAACAGGGCCTATGATGTAATATAAAATGCTGCAGTTTGCAGTTTATATACACACTTTTTGTTCCCATTCAGCAGTAATTGCTGTCAGTGTGAACAGCCCTTATAATAGTTTTGAGCATTGGATAGTAAGTTCAGTACCTCATAGGTTCCAGCTCTGGCTCAAAGTCTTGTTGCTTATTCTCGGTTGACAGACTCATGCTTTAGTGTTAATGTGGTTCGATTAACCATGTGTGTTTCTGTTTTGTTTTTTACTGTCTCGCCAACTCTTTCTATTCTGTCTGTTGATCTTTCTCTTTTTCCGACCTCCTTCTCTTCCCCCTGTTGCAGATTGGGGGCATGGTGTGGGACTTCCTGGGAAAGTGAGTGCTCTGTCCTGGCACCACGGCTCGGCTGCATTTATCTGTCTGCAACTGCTGTGTGCTTGATGCCTTGATGCCTGTGTTGCACGGCTGTCTCTCATTCACTGGTTTTTCTTACAAAGGAAAGAATCCTTTTGTTCTTTATAATGTGGTAAATATGTGCCAGATTGCATTGATGTGAAAATCTGTGGACTGAGAAAGCCAAGAAAATAATATTGTGTGTATAATGTGTTTTGTGGTTGTGTATGCTGTTTCTTGCGCATGTGTTGGGCTCTCTTCCAAACCCTAGTGAGCTGCCTCGCAGTCTAATGTCTACATAGGCAACATCCTAACCAAGATGGAGCCTCATAAGTGGCTGATTAAAAATGATTTAAAAAAATTTTTGCGGGCAGCAGCAATACAGTCACACAAACAGTGCTCAAGAGATCTGAAAGAGAGTCTGATGCTATTGCTAACTACTCAACAGAAATCTTGACTGAGTGCATTTGTAAACGTATTTTCTACTGTTTACACTTACAGAACTCCAAAATTTTGAATGGTAATACTGTATATGTAAAGGATACATTTAATGCTACCTTAGATTTTGGCCAAAACTGCATATTTTATATATTGCTGTCTACCTACTTCCTTTTGGGAGTGTGCCTATAAGTGCATAAACTATGTTGCCTATAGGTAGGAAGCTCACTAGGCTATGGAACTGAGCTAATGTGTACATCAACCAGAGTGCACGTTTTCCTTTTATGATCATATCTGTTCTATAATTTTTTTGTATTTATTATTATTTTTTTTTTTGTATAATAAAAATAGAACATGAAAATTTAATCTAATGATTCCATAGTTTCAGCACAATTTTCTTTCACATAGTGTCATACATGTGATAATTGCACACTTGATGTCATGATTTTGGCATTGCAACATGTTGATGTGAAGTCATTCTCTAAAATTACACCAATTTCCGACCTCCTTCTCTTCCCCCTGTTCTTCCATGTTCCTTCATCTTCTGTCATAAAACACTCATTTCTTGTTCAAAAATTCTTGTCCATCTTCACGTTCTTCCTATTCTGCATTTATCTCATTGGCATCTATCTATCTATCTATCTGTCTGTCTGTCTGTTGGCATTGCAACATGTTGATGTGAAGTCATTCTCTAAAATTACACCAAAATTAAAGGGATAGTTCACCTAAAAATTAAAATTCTGTCATTAATTACTCTCCCCCATGTCATCAGGCTGATTTTCTTTCTTTCATAAAATAATTGTATTAATTGTTCTAATTCTATGAGGTTCACACCACAGCTAAATCAAAAACGACACAGAGGAGCAATATAGTTGGAATCACTTTCAGAATTATTTTTGTGCAGTTAGTGAATGATAAAAACACTGACAGCCAACCAAATTCTATTCTGCTTTAAAGAGCTTGAGCATTTAAATTGACAGACAACAAAACTGCAGCTCATGATTATTATAAACAGAACATTATCATCTGTTGGTGTGGACACTAATATCATCATTATTATAGTTTTCATTGGTTTTGGTTGGAACACGCAGAATGTGCTGTCAGAAAGTGAATGGGGACAAATGCAGTTGAGCCAAAAATGACAAAAAGTAATTAAAATGCAATAGAATTAGTTCATACTTATTGCTTGTTCATTATATTCCAAGTCTTCTGAAGTCTGAAGGATTAGATTATATTTAAGTCATTGTTACTAAAAATCTCATATTGAGTCCTTTGTCTTCTATTGAAGAAAGAAAATCATACATGTTGGAAACTACATTTTGGTGAGTAAATGGCGACGTTGTTATTTTCAGGTGAACTATTCTTAATTACACTCAATTATACAGGGGTTTTCACATAGATCTGTCAACTAATGCTATTTTTAGTAATCTTGGTGTATTTTATTCTACCCTGCTTTATGACGTTACACGCTTCTGTGATCTCTGTGCTTGCCGCTTGGTGTTGCTGGCATACGAGGGCTCTGACAATGAGCGGAGCCCCGTTTCCTGACCTTTGAACATCCATTTCACATGCTGAACCTCTTGACCTGAACCTGTCATCTTTCTGCTTCCTAACACGATCTCTCCTCCCTTCCCTCTCACTCTTCTGAATGATCCTCTCCATCCCCTCCCACCTCAGCCTGCGAAATTCCCCTCAAATCGGCCGTCTCATCGGCCTGCATGAGACGTTCTGCAGCATTTCAGGCCCTGTTTTGCTCTGTGAATGAGCTGGGTGCTTTAGGTAGGGTTTAGTGTTCCTCAAGTAGGTTTGCACCCTCATGCCTGATCGCTCTTGCCCTGTTTGCCACCCCGTGCGATCCCTCACTGCGGCTCGGCTGGTTGGGTTGCTGCATGTTGGTTCTCTCACGGGCCCCTGCAGATGTGGACTCAGTGGCATATCCACTGACGGTGATGATTTGAGATGATAGCGTTGTGCATCCTGCCTTGCTGACCTCAGGAGCCGTTCTAAACCGCTCCTAGTTTCTCACTTGACTCTTTCCAGCTGTTTTCTGCTTCGTTTCGATGAATTCTAAAGTTTTATTTCTCCTTTTCTCCTATTTGCTGTCTTGTGGCTTCTCTTCCTTTACGTTCCTGCCCTTCCTGCATCCTTCCTTCCTCCTCTTTCTCCTCCGCCAGTCTTGCTCCTAGGTAAGTTGGTTGTTCCTCAGGTGTTGTTCACCCTCCATTATGAGCAATAACCAAGCGTGTTTTGTTTGTTTGACGTTAGAAAAATAACTGTATTTTTCGTTACATTTGCATCTAGTGTGTTGTTGTCACAGTTATGAGTCATATTTCATGGTGATGTTGTGTTGTGTTGTTGTTTGCATTTAATAATCACACATACAGTGACCCCAAAATGTATTTGGACACTTAAAACACACTTTAAGAAGTCAGAATGTCATTGCATTATATAATGAAATATTTAACTAACTCACTCACTTTGGAGTGGATGCATTGAAATCTCATGCAATTGTTCGAGTATAAATATTTTTAAATCTAGATACATTTACTTGAGAAGCAAAATGACATATAAAGTCATGTTGTCTGAAAAAAAAATAATCAAAATTAAGTGAGTTCATACTTAAAACAAGAAAAAAATCTGCCAATGGGGTAAGAAAGCTAAACTTGTTTTCCCTTTGAATTAAGTTTATTTTTCTTACTCCATTGGCTGATCAAGTATAAACTCACTTAATGTTGACTCTTTTTGCTTTATCAGAAAACAATTCTTAAAGGAATAGTCCACCCAAAAATGTATATTCATAATATTCATTTATATTATAGTCATCATTTTCTTGCCCAAACCTTACTCCAAACCTGTAAGACTTTCTTTGTTCTGTGGAACATGTAAGAAGATACAAAACAAACAAACAAAAAACTACGGATGTCAATGGGAACCGAATCTGTTTGGTTACTCACATTCTTCAAATTATCTTTATTTGAATTCCACAGACGAAAGAAATGTATAGACATTTGGAAGGACATAAGGGTGAGCAAATGATATCAGAATTTAGATTTTTGGGTGGACTTGTCCTTTAATATCTTATGTCAGTTGCTTCTTAGGTAAATGTATGTTAATTTAAGAAAGATTTTTGTACTGGACAACGACAAAAAAATATACTATAATAATTCATTTTGATCATGTTTGGTTAAATAGGGTTTTGTGATTGATATCAAATTGAGCAATTCAGGTGACACTCTGTATGTGTTCTAAGGCAAACCAAGGATCAAAATAAAAAGGGCCCAGGCATCAAGCTTGGTCCTCAGATGGACAAGAAAGGCCCTGGGAATATCTTGCAAGACCAACGGAAGGATAATCCAATGGACAACCCAAAGGTGTGTTGTTTTTATTTTATGGCTTTAAATTTTGTCTTAAATCAAGAGAAAACAAGAAAAACAAAAGGGTTTCTCTTTATTTTCTTGCACACGTTTTTCTTTATTTCACAGATGGAGGAGTTATTGAATGTTTTGGAGAAGACGAGGCAAGAGTTGGAAGCCACTAAACAGCGTCTGTCCTCCACCCAACAGTCTCTGACTGAGAGAGACGGCCATCTGACCAACCTCCGACAGGAGCGCAGAAAACAGCTCGAGGAGATCTTGGAGATGAAGTAAGAATCCTTGCAGTCAGACTCTGTTTCTTCATAAATATTTGATGCCTAGGATGTTTTTAGTTTTGTTGAAAGCTGCTCACTGTATATCATGCATGCATACAGTATCTCAAATGGTCTGTTCCCCTCAGACAACAGGCTCTGCTCGCTGCTATCAGTGAGAAGGATGCTAACATCGCTTTGCTGGAGCTGTCCTCCTCCAATAAGAAGAAGACACAAGAGGAAGTGTTGGCCCTGAAAAGAGAGAAGGACAGACTAATGCATCAGCTCAAACAACAGGTCGGTCGATTTCTGTACTCAGAAACCCATTTAATTACACTAAGTCAATAGGAGAGCCACTTTTACCGAAAAGTATGACAAGTTACATCCAGTTATAATGTCTACCTACACTGGAACATCTAAAGTCTGTCTACACTGGACGCATGACCGTTGCAAATCATTTGAACGTTGTGTCAGTACATCATAAATAGAACGAGGCATCAGTTTAATCACGGGGATCATGTCACATCGCACCGCATCCAGTGTAGACAACATCACTCATTATAATGTGTTCTATTGTCTTTTGTCGTGTCGCATCGCAACACTTGCGTCCGAGTGAGTAACACTGAGTAACACTGTCCTAAACCATTAAACCTTAAAGGGGTCATATCATGATGCGATGTCATGTTTTTCTTTATCTTTGGACTGTTACAAGCTGTTCATGCATTTATAAGATATGTAAAGTCGCAAAGATTAAAGTCTCTCAACCCCAAAGAGTTAAGACTCGTCTAGCCTTCCTAAAACGCCTCATTCAAACACGCCCCCACATATCTACGTCTTTGTGTGGGAAGATTTTCATAACACCGCCCAAATGTATACGCAAAGAAAGAAGGCGTAACTTTTATTCTCACTGTAGTATTGTTGCCACCACTGCCATGGAAGCTGATATTCCAAATATGGTAAGGGGCGTAACATTTCCGTCACATGCTTGAGGTATTCAGCCAATCACAATGCACTGGATAGCTAGCCAATCAGAGCACACTGCGCTTTTCAGAACGATGAGCTTTGTAAAAACCGACGCGTTTCAGAAAGGTGGTGCAGAGAAGAGCAACAATAATGTACAGTACAGTATGTGGAAAATAATGTGTTTTTTTAACCTTAAACTGTGTAAATACATTGCATTACATCAAATACAAAAAATTATGTTCTTTTTAGCAACGTCATATGACCCTTTAGAAGGATGGTTTGCATGGTTTGTGCACCCATAGGCATGCTGGTCTTAAAACGAGGTGTGTTCAGGCGCATTGTTGGCGCGTTGCTATTTTGAGGCAAGTGAAATAGACTGCACCATTGACCAACTAAAACCTGGTATAAAGTCAATGGCGCAGTATTTTTTGTTATTTAAAGAGTGCATTAGTAATATGCACCTATAGGCGGGTCCACAACACGTGTACACTCTGCTTATTACACAAACAGGGACGCACAGCAGTACACAAACATGCCAAATATTAAAAATTAAAGGATTACAATGTAAAAGATTATTATTGTGTAGGCTACATAAATATAAAAATGCCTACGTCATAATGTATAGTCATTGCATGTATCATAATTAGGCTACCTATTTGCTCGCGCACAAGCAGCTCTCTTACCTCTCTGGAGACGCAATCAGTCTTTGCTCTTGCAAATTCCGCCGTGTAAATAGCGAATTCGCCATGGCGCAAGCGCAACTGTCTCTTAAAGGGAATGGGAGATGAGACTCTGATTGGTTTATTGCACGTTATAACCAAAACACACCCATTACTCATTAAGAGAATAGGGACAACCCTTTTAGACCAGCATTAAACTAGCAAAAGTGGATTTGGACACGCCCTAAGTGCACCTGCGCCTTGCGCTTTAGACCATGTGCTTAGATCATTAAAATAGGGCCCAAAGTCTTCATCTTATTTTATTTTATTTTATTTCTATCCACTTGCACTCCCCCAACAAAATCACCTCAGTCATTCTATAATGAATATTTATTTCCAAACAGAGTTTCTGTCAAAATGTATGTATTTTTATATGGCAATATACATTGCTGAAAAACTAAATATTGCAATTTTTTTTCAATATCATGCAGGACTAATATATACAGTAGTATTTTCTAATTTTTCTAATTTTTTAGTTAATCTTTGCTATAATTGATCACTATCCCTATCCCGTTTCCAGATGATTGCACAAGTTATCTTACTCTTAAAATAACCAGAAGCAATTAAATATCCAATATCAGCCAATAAATTGAAAAAAGGCGCTTATATACATTATTGTGCATTCCTATTTTCAGCTTCAGAAGGATGTTCTTCCCAAAATGTGGCCATATCAGCTTACAGTTTTGAGGGAAAGAGTCAAAGAAAGTATTAGAAAATCTCCTGTACTTCTTCTGAGGCATGTAGCCACCTGATACCTTGTAAACTCAGCTTTGTTTTCTGGCAGTTTGTGCTTCATTAACTCCTGGAAATTGAGTAAAAGCAAACTGATTACATTTGTACAAGCCATTTAGAGATGTTTGATGATCTCAAACCCTGTATCAAAAATATGCTGCTTGTGTTTTTAAACTTCTTTTTATCCATTTTAGACACAGAGCAGGATGAAACTTATCGCTGACAACTACGAGGATGACCATTACCACCCTCACGCTCCACCTCCTCGACACCCTCCACCACACCATCGGGGTCCAGGCCGTGGACCGCCGCATCCCGGACACCGACCCGCTCCAGACCAGGTTTGTATGGTATCTTCACTATACTACAAATTTTGTGTCTGCACCTTCTAATTTAATTAATTCATCTAAATTAGTGTATATTTGTTTTTTTCTACTTCCTTTTGTTCATCATATGACTGTTTCCTTAACCTTTGCAATATTTCTTATCTAATCTGCATCGCATGAAATCCAATACTTGCTTCTTACTCATTTTAGGATGCTGATTCCATAAATAGTGCCTGTTTTGTTTTGTAAGTTAAATAATACATTTTCGATACTTCTTTTTGTCATTGAAAACTGAAAAAGCTGATACATATATATATATAATTAAAATAAAAATTCAAAAGGCAAAATTCAGAAAGCATCAAATAATTTTGTTATGGGATTGTCTTTGTTAGATTTTTTTCATTTTTAGTAAAATAAATTTAATTTTTTAGTAATTTTAGTAGTTCAACATACTGTAAGCATATGAATTTCAGTTTGTTGCCACTTAACATTTCTAATTTTCTTTTAGTTGTTTCTTTACGTTTTTCATCTGTTGTTTCAATTTTATTTTATTTTAAATAGTTTTAGTTTTGGTTAAAGATAACAACATTGATTGAAATCAAATCACAATATATGGCTGGTGTTTTCAGCAGGCGATTGACCTCTGTATAATCTACCTGTCTCTCACTGTAATGCAATCTCTAAATTTTCTAATCAAACAACCTGCTCTTTCACCTTTAACTCGTCGAATTCTCCTAATTTCATGCTGACCTCTGGATATCTGGATATATTTTGGGCCCAAAGGATGATGAAGAAGGAATTTGGGCATAACTATTTCCAAACCAAAGCTATGATGTTGTTTTGTGGGGTGAGATCTTGATGTCTGATGTCAGTTGTCTGGTTTAAAATGAGATTTTGTGAATAAAAGCGCTTTGCCAATCAATTCTTTTTTTGTTATGTTCGCAGACAATTCAGTCACTAAAGGAGGAGCACAGCCATGCCATACAGATGAAATTCTACATTGTTCACTTGGCCAGTCTTTACCTACAATCAGATTCATTCTTTTGGATGGGGCCCCGTTTTTTTCCATGCATTAAGGAAAGAGGCGGATCATTAGTTTGAGTGGGAGGGCCAAAGCTGGAGATGACCACCTGAGCAGGTAAATACTATCAACAGAAGTACTAACACTTTATTTACCTTATTTTTTAATTTACAGTTTTCATGTCATACAGTACCATTGTGGTCAATAACATTAAGATTAACATTAAGATTAATTGATATAAATATAATGAATATATTAATATAATATAAAGAAATTAATATTCAGCAAGGGCACATTCTATTGACAGAAAGTGACATTCATTTTTTAAAGAAATTAATACTTTTATTCAAGTGACAGTAAAGACGTGTATAATGTTACAAAAGATTTTTATTTTTAAATAAATGCTGTTTTTTAGAACATTCTATTCATTAAAGAATCCTGAAAAAATGTATAAATGTTTCAGCAAAAATATCAATCAGCACAACTGTGTTCAACATTGATAATAATAATAATAAATGTTTCTTGAACAGCAATCATTTGACAATGAAGACTGAAGTAACGATGCTGAAAATTCAGCTTTGCATCACAAAAATAAATTTGTAGTTTTTAAATAAATTAATAGTTTTAATAATATTATATATATTATTATATATATAATAATATTTAATAATAATAATATTTAGCAATATATATATATAAACCTTTTCCAAGCAAACCTTTTAACAGAAAACTTACAATTAAGGTTATAACTTTTCCCCCATGATGACCCTTACCGCCAAAATAATTAAACAGACAGGAATAATAAAAATAAATAAATACCTAAACAATAATACAATTCAATTCTCTGACATATTCATAGTGGTCTTTACATAAATATAAAACCATGCAACATGGTGATCATGTTTAAACCAGTTTCCACAAATCTCTTTATAATGATCATTTTATAATGACACTTAAACAAACACTTTATAATGGGGGTGGGGGGGAGTCTTCATCTTTTCAAAATATGTGATCATAGGTTGCCACATCTGCCACATCAATTTTTGGACAGATCCCTTCATTAAATATTTAACTTTTTCTAATTTCAAATATAAAACCAGGTCACACATCCACACTGAAGCTTTAGGTGGGATTGCTGATTTCCACTCGAGTAATATTCTTCTCCTCACTAATAAAGTGGCAAAAGCGATAACATTTTTGTTATCTTTGTTATCAAACACCTTGTTTGTCAATGATACTTTGTGTTATGGTACACCAAAAACTTCAACACTGGGATTTATTTCTAAATTAAAGGCATCTTTTAGTGTTTTAAATATTACTGTCCAAAAGTCACTCACCTTTTGACAAGCCCAAAACACAATATTGCGGTTTTTAATGTATCTTTGTGCAGCCTTGTTGAGCATTAGAGACTTCTTTCCAAAACATAGACATGGTGTAATATTAATGCTAAATGACGCATTCTCTTAAGGATAATTATTCCATGTTGTTGTTGTTGTTGTTTTCAGATGATTAAAAAAAAAAAAAAATGGAGAGGAAGTCTTGACTGAACAGAAACACAGTTACTTCCTGGTGCAGTCCTTTTTCTAAAGACATTTGCCTTGAAGACTCTCCATGCTCAGTTAACACTAGATGAGACACTGCAGCTGCTCCTAGTTGCCTGGTTTTCACTTGAGACCAGTGCATCCAGCTGGACCAGCCCCTTCTCATCACTGCCCCGCCCACTCTCATCTAGCTCCACCTCTTCAATGAAGCAACATGTCAGCCTGCACCCATTCAAGCCTTGATTCTGTCATTTCTCTGCTTTTTTTTATGTAATCCAATGTAAAATAATACCATCCTAATAATTTCATTTTGAACCATTTTTTACGATCACGTCTGCATTCGCAAGTCTGCCAACTGTTGCCTGCCTTCAATTCTTTAGATTTTATCATATGTGCTACTGTATACATTTATGTACTTAGGTTTGAGTATGCTCTACGATAAGCATTTAAGTCTCCATTTTTGGTTTTTAGTGTATATTGGACCTTAGAGAGTTAGTATACCTCAGAGGTAGTCTACTCTATGCAGAGTTCATTTCGTCTCACCGATTATAACGCACATAACATACACCATGCTAACCAGAATTTGCCCTTTCTTTTTGCTTGTGCTCCACTCAAAACACCAAGCCTGGTCTGCATGTAAGCTCTCATGCACCTATGCACCTCCACCCCTTACAACAGGGAACATTTCTAATGGTGCTTCAACTGGTGCTCAGGCCCAAAAGAGATGGAGACGGCCATGGCTAAACTATTTCGGACATCAGCTGATCTATAACACTCCATGAATCCATGGCGGCAAGTTTTTCGGAATATAATTGAGATGTTTTCCCAAGCTACTGCTGCAGGTCGTAGCATTGATGAATTCATCAAGACGTCTGTTGACAAGGCCAGTCCAACCTGCGTGTCCCATAAAGGGAACGTCCTTCTCCTTTAACGAACCGCCCCACCAGGTACCGGCGGAGCTACCGCCAAATTCTCGTAACGGCTCAACATGGTGGCGAGTGCCTATTTATAAATAGATAGTAGATATATAGATAGAGAAATACTAGCTAAATAAAGTGTGTCTACTGTGGTCAGACTATTGTGTCAGAAATCAAGGGAAACTTTTTTTTTTTTCGGTGTGTTTGAGTCGTGTGTGTTATCATTGTCTGTTTGGCCCTCACAGTGCTCCAATTACAAGATATTTGCACTGGGGTCTATGCAAAAAAAAGAACACAAAAGGTCTTTTGCAGGACATGTGCAGAATCAAGAAACTAGATCTTCAGCTAGAAAAAGTGTTGTATAGAATATGTTGCACCTCACAAAAAACAACAAATCAAACGGCAATGAGATCTGAACAAAATAAATGATTATGGTGACCTGAGGTGGATTTCATCATTGTAAACACACCTTAAAGGAATAGTTCACCCAAAAAAGAAAATTCCGTCATTAATTACTCACCCTCATGTCGTTCCAAACCCGTAAGTTTTTCTTTAATTTTCGGAACACAAATTAAGATATATTGGATAAAATCCGGAAGCTTTCTGATCCTCCATAGACAGCAACACAACTGACACGTTCAAGGCCCAGAAAGGTAGCAAGGGCATTGTTAAAATAGTCCATGTGACATCAGTGGTTCCACCTTAATGTTATGAAGCTACGAGAATACTTTTTGTGTGCAAAGAAAACAAAAATAATCACTTTATTAAAAAAAAAAAAAAGTCTTCCGTTTCAGTCTTCAACGTGCATTCATGAGAATACCACAACGCATGCATGTGCTGCTGCTGACACAAGAGCTGGCATTCTGACATAGAATTGTATGAATGACTTCCATTGTATGGTCAAAAAATATAATGGAAGTCAATGGAAATGGCAATGGCTGTTCGATTACCAACAGTCTTCAGAATATCTTCTTTTGTGTTGAGCAGAAGAAAGTAACTCGTACAGATTTGTGACGACATGAGGGAGAGTAAATGACAATTTCCATTTTAGGGTGGACTATGCCTTTAAGAAGCATAAACATAGTTTCAAGTGGAAGAACACATTGAGATGGCTGGGATATGTTAACAGTTGTTATGCATTGTCTTGTGTCATTTCACTGCTGTTGTTTGTAGTTGTGGAGTTCACTAGGACTTTGGCAAAGCCCAAAATATAGCCAAGATCTGACTGTTAAATGACATGTCCGTGCTTCCATGTTGCATTTCACCTTCTCGTTATTCAGGCGTCGTCACATTATTTCAAGAATCGCATATGTTTCTGTTCTTTGTTCACATAATGTCAGAATTACCGCATTTAAAAGATTCTGTTCCGATAAGTTTGTATCTTTGGGCTCAGAAATTATTAATTTTTATGACAATCCTCAAATCTTGAGGGTCAAAGAAAGTGCATTGTGTACCTAAGCTATAAAAAAAATGACATGAAACTAGTTTAAAGTAGGCTAACTGTATGTAGTTCTGCGTATTTCTGTGACTTTTGAGCTCCTACGGTTAAGTGGGTGGAATTCACAATATAGAACTGTCGTAATTTCGACAAGCTGTCGTAATGTCGTAAAGCAATCTCACCAAATTTACAAACTCCCAGATGTTTGAGGGGAGCATGAAAGAAACAGAAGCCATTCGCCTTATTAGAAGTCAGAAGAATGATTTTGAAACTCAAGGTGAAAGGTAATACACACTTACTGTACATACAGTTGCTTTAATGTTAAGATTTTGGTCATTATGAACACGTCACGATGAGCAAGTTAGAAGTCGGAAACTTCACGGTAATTCTGTCATGACGTGAGCGCATCCTTGTCGCTGTGCTCTAGAATATTCCCACGTTTCTTTAACTATTGTGACTGATGAACACTGATCCAGAATATGTCCACTATGTGAATACTGGATGTTTCTGACTCAGTTTCAAACACTAGAAGAGTGTTTGATCTGCTGTTCTAATATTTATGTCTGTCTGTCTGTCTGTTGTGCAAGTCTATAATTGTACTATAAGGACAAAAAAGACATCAGACATATTGCAGTCCTCCACCTTCAGGACCTTTTATTATTGAATACTTGAAGTAGGGGGATATCTCCTGCCTTGGGAAGAGATATATTGTATAGAACAAAGAAAAAAAAAGAGAAATGTTGACTTGTGTGGTGATGATGCATGATAATGTACATTATGTGCCAACTCTGGGCTGTGGTGAAGTCTAACATTAGACTAAAGGTCTAAAGATCTCTACGAAGAAATTATTAATAATGAATGAATGAAAGAAAGAAGATTCAGCCCTGTAGGGTTTATAAAACTATGACGTATGTCAAAGGGCCTCTGGTTTGAACAAAGGCCCAAAATAAAGAGAACAAAAGTGAAGATTTCTCTCTATATATTTATATTTGTTGTGTGCCAGTTGCATTGTTTCTTTTGTTTCACGATGTCAAAAAAATGCAAACCTCTGGATGATACAAACCACTGTGACAAATGCCAGAAAAGAAATAGTATAATTCTTCTTAAAAACAAAAAACATTGTTTTTACTTTTTTAAGATATTTATTTATGTTGTGTTTTTTTTATGGTTCATGCTTTTTTGAATATGTCAGTTTGGGACTGTAAGATTTGTACATGAAATTAGTTTACTGTTCTTTTTCTGTACAGCAGTGCAAACAAGTCCAATGTGAGTGTCAGCATGCCGAATGATACCGTGTGAACGTGGGGTTCATTTTCCCATGGTGCACCAGTCGTCACGGATGAGACGCATTGGCATCGTGATGGTGTAATGTGTTTTGAGAATGGTGTGTCCGCAACCACATCTTCCCGCCCACTGCCAGTGGATTGCCCGTACAACTAAATAAAAGCGTTCGCATGTTTTCGGGGTGCAGATCTGAGACGCTAAAAGAGTGTGGGATATGCTTGCATGATTGTGTCTGTGTATGCAAATAGGATTGTTACAGGGTGTGAATGCTGCGCGCGTGTTGGAGAAAGTTGGCGGTGCGAGAGCCTGGGGTGTTTGGTGTGAAATCTGTGTCATGTTCGATGTTTTTAAAGTCCTCAACCTCCCTGATATTTGCTATTGTATGTGTTGTACCCCCCCGCCAACTATTCTTGAGTGTCAGTCGGCTTGTTTATATCCATTAAATAAAAGTGACTTTCTTTCTGAGATAGCCTATGCTCTGTTTCATTTAAAAACAAATAAAAGTTTATTAGTCGAAGTCCAAAGAGTGTTTGTCCTCATAAAAATACACTGTATATTGCTGTTACATACACAACTGTTCAAAAGTTTGGTTCTTTAAGATTTAAAATATATAGGCCTATATATATTTAGCCAGGTCACATTAAATTGATCAAAAGGGACATTAAAGAGGACTTACTAAAAAAGTAAATTACAAATAAATGCTGATTTTTTTTTTAATTAACATTTATTTTTTATTTTTTTACCATCTCAAAGAATCTTGGAAAAAATGCTATCACACTTTCCACAAAAATATCAATTCGATTTTTATCATTTAAATTTCAATATTAATTATAACAATTTTTAACTTTAATAATAAGAAATGTTTCCTGAGCAGCAAATAAGCATATTATAATGATTTCTGAAGGATCATGTGACACTGAAGACGAGTAATAATGATGCTGAAAATTCAACTTTCATCATAAAAAAATTTATTATATTTTACAATATATTAAAATAGACATCAGTTTTTTTTTTAATTGTAAAAATATTCCACATTATTACAGTTTTTTTAATCAAATAAATGCAGCCTTGATGAGCAGAAGAGATGTTAAAAAATCTTACAAAACCAAACTTTTAAACATTATGTACACTCACAAATACATTTCTACAAAATATGTACTACCTGAAGGCTACTAAAAATGCAAAGGCCACAATAAAAAATGACATCAGATGGATATTGTTTAAGGCCGTTGCCAGTGTGCCCAAATTAATAATCAAAAACAACTGATTCCCAATATACAGTAGTCAACTTGTAAGTGAAATAAGAATACACCAAGTTGTCACATTGCTAACTAAAAACCATTTGGGGTAAGAAAAGTTCATGCTCATTATCCTTCTTGAACATATTGCTGTTGCTGCCATTACATAAATGCAATAAGCCAATTGTAGGCCATGTGTTAGTAAAATCACAGAAATGGACGGCCTATTGTGGCTCATTGCATTATTTTTGAATACCACACAAAAAAATGTTGCTTATAGCAGCTTCCTTGGGCTGTGTGTGTGTGTGTGTGTGTGTGTGTGTGTGTGTGTGTGTGTGTGTGTGTGTGTGTGTGTGAACATACCATCATATGGTGTAAGAAATGACCCAGCTCAAAAGTAGTAGACTTTGTAGAAAGCAGCACTGCGGATAGCTTTGCATTTATCTCCCCTTCAAGATGGAATCTATCACTCGATCGCTTTTATCAGACAGCCAGTATCCAGCCATGGCTGCCACTGCCCCCATAAAGATGGAGGTGAACACCAAGTCCCCTTTAGCCGCCAATGTGGCCAATGCACACAGCACAACACCGAAGAACGTCTCGGTTACTTGTGTAACCCTCAAGCGCTGAGGAGCCGAGACTACGCGCCCCGGCCGTACAGCGGTGGTATAGCAACTGTGGCGACGGGACGTAACGTCTCCATTCCCTCCTTCAGGGAACGAGGGTTACACAAGTAACCGAGACGTTCCCTTTCAGTCAGTCAC